GGAAATGCATAAAAGCTACAAAATGGAGCCTAAGGGCAAGTAAGCAATTTTATTCCCTCTCCCACAAGTTAATTTTTCTGGGTTTATTCATTTATTATCTTTAATAGATATTTATGACCTATAACTCAAGGCATTTTTGAATTAAGAAGTCAAGTACCAAAAATTTTTAAATGTGTAGTTATAAATCCTGCTGCAATAAAACAAAATCCAAATGCAGAATATTGAGAACTAGCTCCTTGGTTAGTGCTTTGCACATTTAAAAGATCATTATCTCTGGAAAAGAGAGAGATTGTTTTTTTCCTTTAGGTGGAACAAAGCAGTTGCCCTTGACCCTAGACAGGGATGGAGAATTTAGGGGACAACTGGTATAGTTGTGTTCCTGGTTATCACGGGTACAAAAAGAGCTCTCTCTTCCTGCTGATAACCAGGGGGAGGCAAGAGGCCTCAGAGAGTCACGTGGAGCCTGGGGAAGATGCTGTCAGAAGAGCTGCATCTCAGGGCAACCAGAATTAATCTTACCATTCCCTTGACCAGATCACTATACGAGGCTGATCAGAAGCAGCGTCATGAAGAGTATTCATGAATTAGCTAAAAAAGTAGCCTCTGTGCTGTCCAAGCACCTTGTTTTTTGTTTGTCCTTTTTTTCCTTGTGTAAGGAATTGAACTGGCCTAATAGGAAAAATTATTTCCATTAGAAATCTACATATTCATGTCAAAGGTTTTCTCTAAAAGTCTGAATTACTGAAAAATATTTGCAAAAATTGTAATCACTGTTTAGCTCCTTAAATATTGGTAAATCGGTTGTTAATTTGCATTTATGTTCAAGATTAGATGGATTTAGGAGTCCTACTTCCATCCCTGCTGCCATTTGGAAATGACAATATCATGCTTACTGCCTTTAATTCTAGTTATTGTCATATTTCGCGTCTCATGATCTCCGGGAAAAGCTAGAGTGTCTCTCGCCATGCGCCAGCTATTGGTTACAGAGCTTGGTTTCATAATTTCATAATCACTGCAGTGTCCATAGTAAATTATGGGAAATTACAGAGAACTAATCAATGTAAGGCATATGAAACCTATATTTGCCTAATAATAATTTAAAATTATTAGCCCCATAAAAACTCATTTTAAAATAATCAAGGAAGACTGTGTAAAATGACTGAAATCCCATTTTAATTAGCAATTTTGTTAATTTTCCTGATTATAAAAAGTTGGAGAATTTCAATACTTTATTTTATCTAAAAAATGAAAATGTTAGTTAAGTAAGTTTGTTGGGTTTTTTTTAAGATTTTATTTATTTATTTGAGAGAGAGAGAGAGTGAGAGCATGCGAGTGGGAGGAGGAGCAGAGGGAGAGAGAGAATCTCAAGCAGATTCCACGCTGAGCGTGGAGCCTGATGCAGGGCTCAATCTCACGACCCTGAGATCATGACCCTGAGAAATCAAGAGTCAGATGCTTGACCAACTGAGCTACTCAGACACCCCTAAGTGAGATTTTAGATCATTCTAGACCAGGCCCAGAGCACTTTCTGGAAGATGGTAGGCAGTCAAATATATTTAACTATTGGATGAGGTGAGGGGTTAAAAGAGCAAAATACAACCTTTCCAATAGCTTATAAAAGGGAGAAAAAAGAATTAATAGACACATGTTTTTCTTAAGGGAAACCTATTGAAAATATGATTTTATACCTTTTAATCAAACACACTGAAATTTAATTGATGCTGCTAGAATAACAAGAGTTCATTTTTACATGTTGCAAATTTAAAAATTGAGATTATTTAAACAGGAGTTAGGATGAAGTTTGCTTTTACTTTATGTTTTAAAAAAAAAGTTTCCTAAGAAAGTGAACAAAGTAAACAAGCTTGCTGAGATGTTGTCTCTATGAGAGACGGTAAATCATTTTCAAGCAAGTTCCTCCCATCCCCTTGCCACATCTGTTGAGAGTTCAGTCAGTAGGTGTGTTAGTTTTCTACTGCAGTTCTCTAACAAATTAGTATCAACTTAGTGGCTTAAAACAAGACCAATTTCTCTTACAATTCTGTTAGAAGCCTGACATGAATCTCACTGGGTTAATATCAAGGTGTCCATGGGGCTGCATTCTTTTCTGGAGGCTCTGAAGGAGAATCGGAGACTTTTATTTCCTTAACCTTTTGCAGTTTCTAGAAGCCATCTCCATTCCTTAACTCAATTCATGGCTCCCTTCCTCTATGTTCAAAACTGGCAACGTATCTCTCTGACTCCCTCTTTCTTACCACGGCTGGGTAAAATTCTCAGGTTTTAAGGACTTATGTGATTACATGGAGCCCACCCAGGTAATACAGGAAAATCTCCCCATCACAAGACCCTTACCGTGAGTCCTATCTACAAAGTCCTTTTTGTCACATGTGATAATGTATTCACAGGTTCTGGGAACTGAGATGTAGATCTCTTTGGCAGCCATCTGTGTACATGGGGAGAGGTAGTGTTCAGTTCACAGGCTATGAGCCAGCATCAGAAGATACTGATGGAGACTGACTTATTTTTTTAAAATTGGTGTATAATAATTCATATTTATTAATGAAGGCAATTATCATCAACTTCCTTTATTTATTTATTTATTTATTTATTTATTTATTTATTTGAGAGAGAGAGAGCATATGAGAGGGGTTAGGGTCAGAGGGAGAAGCAGACTCCCCGCCAAGCAGGGAGCCCGATGTGGGACTCGATCCAGGGACTCCAGGATCATGACCTGAGCCGAAGGCAGTCGCTTAACCAACTGAGCCACCCAGGCGCCCCATCAACTTCCTTTAAATGAAACTTTCACTAATTGTTTGACATGTTTTTATGTACAGTTTTTAAAATAATTTAATGATTGTTTAATGGTAAGTTATTGTTTAATAGTAATAATTCCATTGCCTTCCACAAGTCTATGTATTTCACATAATTTAATTATATAACAATATAGCTTTATATACATGAACTATCTTATATTCTGTTTTCACCCAATTCTTAGATATACTTCTATACAAATAGGCCATATTTTATTAAGTTTTACTCCTGATGTTAGAGATTTATGTGTTTACAGTTTCTTACTCATGTAGATAATGCTTCACTGAATATTGACTTATTTATACAGCTGTTTTTGCTTTTATCGAGTAAGGAAAAAATTCCTTTGAAAGAAATTTACAGGGTAAGAATATATGACTATCTTCAGGTTGTCTACACATTCCCCTCTTCTTATTTGTTTATAGAACCATAATTTTGTTCAGGTATTGACTATATAAGAAGCAAGTGCCATTGTTGGGATTATGGTTTTGTGGTCTGGTGAGTCTTGGGTGTTCAGGGATGTTGACTTCAATTTGAGATATATGACCTAAGGACAAACATCCAAATAAGTGTGGGCCTCAAGAGAGACCTTGGCTTCAATGAAAATGTACTGTGAGCAACAAATGCAAGCCCCATATGTAATTTAAAATTTTCCAGTAGTGACATTTTCTAAAATGTAAAAAAAAAGGGGGGGGGGAGCAATGCTGATTTTAATAGTATATTTTATTTGATACAATATATCAAAAATCTTAACATTTCATTATATAATCATTATATATTCCAACACATCAATTTGTTCCGGCCACATTTCAAGTGCTTCATAGTCGTGCACAATTAGAAAGATGAACTTAGGAGCCGGTTATAAAGTCAGCACCTTTCTTTGCTTGTAAATGTGAACCTGTGTTTGGCTTGTTTCCGGGGATTTTTTTTTTTTTTTTTGCTGTTGTGAGTAACACTGTAATGAACAGTCATATATAGAACTCCTGGTGCAGGCCTTGAGGATGGCATATTCGCAGGCTTAGGATGGCTGGCAGGTAGTAGGTGAAATGGTGCTCACTTTATTCTCCAAGGTGGTTGCTCCAGGCCACATGCCAGCTGGTGGTGTGGTAAGAGTCCTTATTGCTCCTCCCCGACACGAACATTTGGAAAAGTCTCATTTATTCATTTTGTCAAGCTACTGGGTGTAAAATTGTTTCTCATTTCCTCACAATTTGCATTTTTCTGATTATTAATGAGCTTGAAGACCTTTTCAGAAGTATATGAACCTTCATTTCTTTCCTCTTCTATAGATTTCTATAGAAATCACAAATATTTATTCATTCAAATATAAATATACCTACATATGATATATGTCATATATTAATATATGTATCACATTATATATTTATTCACAAATATTTTTTGAGCGCTGTCTATTAAGTATTGGTCTAGGTATTGGGAATATACTCGTAGGAGGGAAAATAGTCCCAAATCTTGCCTTCCAGGAGTTTATATTCTAGTGTATATGGTGAAGAGGGAGAGACAAAAACAATTAAAAGAAGTGAAGCAGCATATGTCAAGTGTTGTTAGCAAACCTCGGTTTAAGTCCAGCTCAGCCATTTTACGTCAAGGCTTAACTTGGCTTCCGCAATTGTAAAAAAGGAGATGGTAATAATACTATCTTCATTGTTTATTCAGTGCATATGAAGGACTTGACACAGCCCTGGCAAATTGTAAGGACTCAGAAAATGCTAGTAATAAGTATCATTTCCCCCTTTTTTCCTTCTCCTTTTTCTCTGTAATTTCTTCTCAGAACTTCTGAAGTTTAAGATTAAATATGTTTTGGTTTGTTGAGGTGTTGGCTTTCGTCAGGGTGTCAGCCTATTGATACTTTCTGTGACACGACAGATGACCTTAGCTAATTTTGAGATGTGTTTTTGAGATTTCAAGCGTCTTAAATCCCAAGAACCAAGAGCCTGAGAACGTGTACTTTTTAAAAAGCTACATCATGTCAAATGCCAAAAATGTGGGAAAATCTGTAGGATTGCCTTGTATTCATTCATGGCTGTGTCCTGTGAATGTAAATTTTGCCTGAATTAATCATCTCAATCTAACAACCAATTTACTGTAAACCATGCGCAAAGTACTGTATAGAGGAGATGCATGTGACCTTGTTAATCTTTGGAACAATTATTTGTCCCTCTTTCTTAGATCATGATGTTGAAAATGATCTTCAATCAGACATCAGTTGAGCACTGCAAGACTCACACTGAAAAGCTGAAAGAATGCAACTTCTTCTTAATAGCTGTTCGCCTGGCTTCACTGAACCAGATCTTGGATCCCTGGGTTTATCTGCTGCTAAGAAAGATCCTTCTTCGAAAGTTTTGTCAGGTAGCAAATGCTGTCTCCAGCTGCTCTAATGATGGACAGAAAGGGCAGCCTATCTCATTATCCAATGAAATAATACAGACAGGAGCATGAAAGAGAACACCTAATCAACTTGCATGTTCACAGATTTGGCAACAAGTAGCCATAAACCTTACTGTGAATTTAGGCATCTCTGGCATGCCGCTGTTTATGCATTAGAGGAGAATTTTGATATAAGGCTAAATGGTCTCAGAAGCATAGATAATCCCCCATGTGCCCAAAGTATGGAAACACAAACAAAGGAAAATATATTATTAACAGTCTAGTGTTTTGGGGTCCCTGCCATTTGTAGCTGAATATGTGATTATTTATGAGATGAAAACATTTTTCTATATAAATGATCTTGGTTTGTGGTGGGGATGGAGTGGGGAAAGTTAATATTCTAGTATACCGAGTACACGGGAGATTGAATCCATAGATCATCAGAGATAGGCAAAAATTTGTTTTTGTTCAAAGACCTGGGTCTTCTGTGTTCTCTTTCTTTCTTTCTCTCCATGTCACTCTTTTCCCCTTATATTTTTTAAAAAGTTGCATTAGGATAAAAAAACATATAATGTATCCATAGTATTCAGTGGTATTGATGTAAATATTGCTCAATGCATAAATTATCTGTTGAACTTATAAAGTGTAAGTTTTGGTTGTGTCGGTAATTAGGTTTACTCATTATCTAAATAAGAGCCAAATGCATTTATTTGAAATATGACAGGATTTGTGACTATCCAAATTACTATATGTTATTTTTTTAATACATTTTTAATTCCTAAAAGCCGGATAAGATTCATGAATCTGATCTTGAGAGTCAGTAGAGTGATTTTTCAAAATACTATTTAAGAACTGATTTGAGAACTAAATATAGGTACTGTGGTTAATTATCTTCCCTGATCGTTCCACCAAAAGTATTCTCTAGTCTTTTGGATATTTAAATGTTAACTCTGATTTCAGGACCAATAAATATTTTGAAAATTCCATAAAGACTTTCCATAGTTCGGCCTATTTATAGAATAAGAAAATTAATAGTATTGAACCCTCATAACACTTTCTCTGTTCTCCCTGCAAAGTAGCTCTATATCTAAATATTTATTATTAATTTGCTTTTCTTATACTCTACATGTGTACAAACCTTGATAGCTAAGCTTGATATCTTTATGGCACAAGTAGATTACTACACTAAGTTTTAAGAGTTGCACTTAAAAAAAAAAGAAAACCTCCCCAACAAACATAGCAATCTTTTAAGTGAGACCTACACAAAATGCTCTTTGTATCCTTTAGAGCATTCATTTTGCAAACTCATTAACCTTTCTCACGAAGATTTTAATTTACATCTTACCTTATTGCATTCCTAGTTTTAAAAAAATGAGATTTATTTTATATTTCTTTATAGTAACTACTTTTTCCCCCTGTGTTTAGTAGGCATTTGAGGAATAATTGATTTTCATAGGTACGATCTAGTAGATTAATATATAAACCATCCTAGGTCAGTCAGGAATAATCAATTTTTATTATTATTATGAATAACCACGTCAAACTGAGTGGATAAACAAGATCTGCTAAGAGTGCTTATGTAATTCATGATGGTTCCACTAGCCTACATTTTAGAAAAAATGATGATATATAACATACTACTAAAACCCTGATACAAAATCTCTCTATGCTATAAAATTGGATTATCCCACAGGTCACCTATGAAGAATTAGACAAAGCTACCTCCTTTTTCCAGGAAAAAAAAAAGTGCACTTAGAATAAGTACTGACCTTACAACAAAGAGGCTTTACTTCTTGAATGTTCCTCTGGTCCCAGGTCATAATCAGATTGACACACACACAGTATGGATTTAAGTGGTACGAGTGTGATTGGGTTATCCTTCCCAGCACCTAGCACAACACTTGAAATGTAGGAAGAGTTCAGTATTTATTCAATGAACGAATGAATGAATGAATGGCTGCCAAAACCGAATGTGCATCGGTGAGGTGCCTGCCAAAGGATTGAAGGGCTACCTGCCCTTATAGTCCATCAAACTGATAAGGTGAATGATCGCTGCTTATTTAAGTACAGAAATATGAATTTATCTTCAAATGTGTAGTAGCATATTGCTGTACAACAAAGTGCTTTATCTGTATTAATAATTTAAGAGACTGATACTTCCAAATGGTAATGGAGATGACTGTCAAAGAAATACCACTTTTCATCCAAGCACAGAAATACATAAAGACAAAACAGCCGGAAACTTATCCTTAAGTACAAAATAAATTTCTGCCCAGGGATACATGGCAGGAGTGGATACATGGCAGTTTTTCAACAAGGTTGAAAGGGAAGTGGAGAAGGAAAAATTACGTAAGCGGCATGTGTTTTTTTTTACCCAGGTAGCCATTGGTTCGTCCAGGGAAAACCTGGTAAGAAATATAAGTCCCAAATGATTTCAGCGTTTGGATGATAGTTGAAGTTAGATTTCAGAGATGTTGTGCAGAGGCCCTAGATGTGATCAGGAAGTGGACACTGAAGTCACTGCAGAAGAATCTGTGTTTCCAAGTTTAAGTTTATTGGCCTTTAAATTCATTCTCATATACTTTGTTTATCTACGTATATGTCTGAACAGGAAAAGAAGATGTGCACATAAATTATGACGATTCTTAACCTGACAGTATTGGTTAAAAAAATAGAGGCCTAGGAAACCACATGGGAAGAAGTGAGTGAGTACAATGTAGAAATTAAGGTACAATCAGCTATTGTAAATTGTACATAACAGTGCTGATTTTCTAAATGATGAATTTATGCAGCTAAGCTGTGTCATAGAAGAGAAGGATGACATGCAATCCAAAAAGAATATTTTACTTTTCAAATAAAATCGTTGCAGCAGATATCTCAAAACTATTTTAAATGGAAGAAACAAAATATGTTATCTTAAGTTTTACCAAAATTTGCCTAATGCTGTATACCAAGATATTTTAAGAAATTTATTAGATGTGTGTTTAATCATGGCAGATTTAAATGACTATGAATCAAAAATTGCACATCTATTTCTACTTAACACTTCTTATCATATAAAAGAACTCTCAACTGTGTTATAGAATAAAATTGTGGAAGCTCATGTAAAAGTTAACTGCAAGAGACCCTGGGACCGGGGCTGGCATTGAGTAATGGACCAACTAGAAACTCTGAAGACAAAACAGTGTTTTTCAAAGGTGGTCAGTCTGTGGCAATATTCTAATAATAGATTTTCAAGTGAATTAGACCTTTTATTCATTGATACTTCTTATATATCTGTTGGCGTTGAGTACTAATTTGTGACTAGTTTCAATCTTCCCGTGTCAGCAATCACTTAATGGTTCTTTTGTATTGGGATTAAATCAGAGACAGAAAGTAGAAAAATTTTTATCATTGAAATTTTAAGCACATACATTCCTGCTTATTTTTTAATATTTTAACCCCAAAATCTTCTCTCGAAATAAACAGGATACCAGAAGATGAGGGACACAAAGACTGCAGAGTATTTATTCCTATGAACATACTAAAAGCTTAATGTGGAAAAATTAAAATTTCTATGATTTACCCATGTGAAAAGTTAGACCATCACCGATGCCAAATCTTCAGAGATGTTGTTTATTGCTGGTTCTGTGCTCGCATGTGTCTCAAAATCTGCTAGAACTGAAGTTTAAATAAATGTGCAGAATTGTGCACATAATTGAAATTATATCATTTTAAAAATGAAGACTATTTAATACTGTGGCTACATCCAGAGGACTGCTATCTGAGTTGCAATAAAATTCTGATAAGAGGTGGCATACATTTGTGATGTTTCCTAACATAGGTTTTGATAGAGCCAATTCACAAAATTTGAAAATCAACCTAAAACTCATATGCACATTTGTTAAAGAGCTGTATCAGTTCAGTATTCTGAGACAACGAACTGGTGGTGATTACATATGAAGCATGAAACAGAATTAGGGAAAATGTTAAAATTAAAACTCCATTATATTGGCATCATTTATATAGATACTCATTTCCTAAGAAAGTTCATATTCAGCTGACTTACTCCCACCCAAAAGGTTTCAATTTTATTAGGAATTTGTATCTATAGTTATCAAGGAAAATCTTTTACATGTCTTCTTCCTTGAATGCCTTTTTTGGATTGAGTCCACCTTGAATAAAACTGAAGTAAAAAGGATAGTGCAGAGTGACCTTGTTCTTAAAGTGACAAAGGGAAAACTGAGCCTGTGCTTCTCTCAGAAAGACTTTAACAAGCCATCTAGAATTAATGAATTTTATTTTTAATGAGGATATTGACAATTCATGTTAAAGTCAGATGGAAAGATACCTTAAAAGCATGCTACTTAAAATTTTCTTTCTCACTTGTCCCTGTTCTCTACTCTTCTAAAGAACAAAAGAGCAAAGAATTTTTATTTTATATGTTCTCTATTTTATAATTCCTAAAATGAGGACTTTATTTAAAAGTTTATAATTTATACAAGTTGAATTGTAAACCATTACATGATGATACCATAAACTGAGTACATTTTGATTCTCTGGAAAAACAATTCACTCAGATATACACCATATTCATTTATATATCACTCATTTTCTTTATTGAGAAGCAGAATTCTTTCATTTTCAGAGGTTTTAAATCAACCAGTTTAATATTATCAGCAACCTAAATATTTACTGGATTACATATTTCTTCATTAGGAACGAGACTGTGACCCCAAGCCCCTTGCCTCCAACCTGTTTATTCATTTTCTCAACAGAGAGAAAGTAACATAAATATTTACTGTTGGTGAAACTGGAATTAGAGAACAGCTTCGTATTTCTAGCATGCTATGCCTTAATATATGAAACAGAACCGAGTCTGTTTTTTTAGTAAGTCTGCTTTGATGGAACAATTTTATTATGGGAGTAAAGATAGGAAGGAAAGAGATCATCATGAGGAACAAAATCAGACTTTTCAAGCTTTTTGAGCATTTTGGAGATGA